AGTAGTAGTAGTAGTAGTAGTAGTAGTAGTAGTAGTAGTAGTAGTAGTAGTTGAAATTCATCTCGCTATACACTATTTGTTTCTTATTAAAAAACCATTTTTCAACATTTTCTTCATTTCAACTCAAAATAGATAGCACAAAAAAAATCGTTAAATCGTTAATTCGTTAAGTTTGATCTTTCAAATAAGTATTCTATTTTTTATAGAAAAAGGACCAACTTAATTAGTTAATGATTTAATGATTTTTTTGTGCCAAATGGTCCATGTACGTGAGTGCAGTGTATCGATTTTTAAAAAAGCTTTGATGTTTGGAGTTTTTCCTCTAGTTCAAGTTCTGTACAGGAGCTTAGCTGGCAACCAAACCAAAGACCTGAAAGGTTTAGAAACCTGGAGATCAGCATTGTCTGAGATCCACAGGTGTTTGCCTCAAACGTTGGAGGTCAGTTTTGCGTGAGACAAAAAACCTAAAGGTGAAGCTGCTTTTGATACACTTTTTGAATTTACTTTTTGGCTTCAAAAGAGGAGCCGTACATGTCGGCTGGAGGCCAAAAGCAGCTTCTCATTTTCTTGCATTTTTTTGACCGTCTATGTCAACAGGCTCGCTCGCGCAGATAACCGGAAATTGTGACATTGACTTGAACTAGAGGAAAAGCTCCAAACATCAAAGCTTTTTTAAAAATCGATACGCTGCAGTCACGTACATGGACCATTTGTCACAAAAAAATCATTAAATCATTAATTAATTAAGTTGGTCTTTTTTCTATAAAAAATAAAATACTTATTTGAAAGATCAAACTTAACGAATTAACAATTTAACGATTTTTTTTGCGCTATCTATTTTGGCGCGTTTTTGTTTTCATTACTGTGGCTTGCTGGCAATTGCTGGCAAACAGCTAAGCTGTAACCAGAAGCCATCGACAAAGGAAAAATAGAGGCCGAGCCAACTCCAGCGAGCATTGAAAGAGAAAACAAACCTTTTGCAGACACTGCCGGGGGAACAGACTTGGTCCTCAGTTTTCAGCGCATTTCAGAGTCCCACTCTTGCATCTAGCATTCCGCCACCTCCGGCCCATGGTTCCACCTGCGCCAGAAGCAAAACACGCTCTCGACGACGCAAAGTAGTGCCCAGTTCCCTGCCTCCAGTTCCCTGTCCCCAGTTCCAGTTCCCTGTCCCCAGTTCCCTGTCCCAAGTTCCCTGTCCCCAGTTTGCTGCCCCCAGTTCCCTGTCCAGTTTGCTGCCCCCAGTTCCCTGTTCCAATCATGCTTGGTCTGAGATCAGCTCTGTGTGAGATCAGCGAGACCACCATTTTTTGCGGTGGTTGGTTTTTTCTTAATGCTTGGTCTGAGATCAGCTGTGTCTGAGATCAGCGGGAACACCATTTTTGAGCACGGTGGTTGTTTTTTTCTTTATGCTTGGTCTGAGATCAGCTGTGTCTGAGATCAGCGGGAACACGATTTTTGAGCACGGTGGTTGTTTTTTCTTAATGCTTGGTCTGAGATCAGCTGTGACTGAGATCAGCGGGAACACCATTTTTGTGGAGCCTCAAGTCGCTGATCAAGGCCTACAGGTGGATCTCAGACGAGGCTGATCTCCAACTACTGTGCAGAGCCTCAAGTTGTGGGAGCAGCAAAATGGGGACAGGGAACTTGGGACAGGGAACTGGGGACAGGGAAGTGGGGGCAGGGAACTGGGACAGGGAAGTGGGGGGCAGGGAACTGGAGGCAGCAAACTGAGGACAGGGAACTTGGGACAGGGAACTGGGGGCAGCAAACTGGGACAGGGAACTGGGAGCAGGGAACTGGGACAGGGAACTTGGGCAGGGAACTGGGGGAAGCAAAACTGGAGACAGGGAACTTGGGACAGGGAAGACAGGAAACTTAGGGAAGTGGGGACAGGGATCTGGGGAACTGGGGGCAGCAAACTGGGGACAGGGAACTTGGGACAGGGTGGGGACAGGGAACTGGGGGTAGGGGACTGGAACAGGGAACTGGCGGGCAATTGACTGAAGACAGGGAACTGGGGGGAGGGAACTGGAACTGGCGACAGAGAACTAGGGGCAGGGAACTGGGCTGATCTTCAACTATTGTATGTAGAACCTCAAGTCGCCGATCAAGACCTACAGGTGGATCTCAGACGAGGGGCTGATCTCCAACTATGTAGAACCTCTATGCACCGTCTTTTGTTTTCAAGGAACTCCAACCTGCGGAAATTTTAAACCCAAACAGGGTCCAAAAAGACCTTCTACAAA